AATTAGTGTGTAGTAAAGGTTCGTGTTTATCTGAAATGATAAAATTCTGATAGTTGTAGTATCTCTCTACCAAATAAAGTGTGTCCTGGATTTAAAATACTGATGTAAGGAAACACTTGTTTTGTTCAAGGAAAGTTGGTTTACATGGTCATAAATTATGACAGTCTTGTTACACTGACTCCAGTAATGATGGAGTAGCGTGAAAGAGAGTATCACAAATGAGTTTTCGATTACTTACAACCACAGAGGTTTTTTTCCTTGCTGATACTACATTTTATCAGTCTTCTAAAATAGGCATTCCATAAGTCCTTTGAAAAACAGACTTCTCCATTTTTGTTTAATAATCATCACTATAAGCACAAGAAGTAAAGTTAATTAAAGTTTTCCTTTGCTCCCTGACGAGTCATAATTATCACTTGACATTTGTGAATAGGTGAAACATTTTCACCAGTGAGAAAGTAGTTTGGGCTCCCTCTGTGAAGGCCAAAGCTTTAGACCACAGCTACTGTGTTCTCTAGGTCTGCATTCAAGACAGTGATAGTTATGCAAGTTTGAAGTCTGTGATGAGAGTAGGAACATTGTGATAGTGAAGTAGCACAACAGGTTTTCTCCTTAGACTGAGAGATCACAGCTACAGAGTGTTTCTACTGAATTAAAGTGTGTTTATGGACACATAAACATAACAAGTAAGCATCTTGATAGTACCTTACACTGTCTTTGATCAATTTAGTGCTTCTCAAAAATAAAAATATTGCTGACATTTTCCATTGTGAGAGGAAATAGTTGTTTTAGACCACAAGTGATGGTGGTGTGTAAATATTTAACACATGCATTATATGTTTTTCTATAGGAGATAGTCTGCACGCAGGAGTTCATTTGACTCTGCTTTCAAAAGCAGTACAGTGCTCAAGAAAAGTAAACAGTTTGTGACTGGAAATTTGCCTTTTGGGGAGGTGCAAAGTCAACAACCTGCTTTACAGGCTGGAGTACTTGACAGTGCTTCATACTTGCCTGTGAGTGAAAGAAATTGCATCCTCTTCTAGGCTACATGCCTGTTGTGGAGAAATTGTAGCTTAGGATGAGTGAGTAAGGGTATTTGAAGATTACTTTGTTACAAGTTCAGTGGTTTGTTTGGGTTTTTTTTTTTTACTTCTGGTAGACATCAAGCAGGGTGGGCAACAGCTGCTGCTGCAAAGGCCTGTAGAGTGTAGTCAGCAATTTGCTTCCAGAAATAAGTTCATCTAATGAAAGATAACTCCTCCCAACTGTTTTTTCCCAAATGACCCTATATATAAGTCAAAAACGAGGCACGTTGGCAGGAGATGGGGTGATGGACTCTGTGCAGTGATCACTCTGTTGGCAGTCAGTGCGGTGCCTGTCACAAAATTCATCCCTTCCACAAGTAGCCACATCAGTGTTGATGTGCCACTGATGACAGAATCATAGACTCAGTGGATTCCTCTCTCGTGTTGCGATATGAAAACCCAACTGGCTTGTCAGTGATATGGACCCCATACAAACGTGAACTCCCAGTTCTTCATTCTGACGAGTGTGATGTGGTTTGACATTTTTCTGTTTGCTCAGCAAGGCCTACTGAGGATGGTTGGAAATGTATCACCTCTACCTAAGCAAAGTTAACTTTTGTCATTGTGCAGCCTTTTCAGAAAAGACAGGGATCCCCACGAGGTTGAAGGAAACTGCAAAAATGGATGGACTTGTTTTCTGTGAAAACTGTTACAGCTATGGTACCATAGAAGAATTTGTTCCTGAAGGGAAATTTTGCAGCCAGAAATGTGCCCAGCAAGTAAAAAACAAGTAGGTGCTATTATAAAGCATAGAAAGAACTAA